ACTCAAAGAAGTCTCATGATACAAAACAGCAGTCATGAGCACGTTATGTGCTAAATATTAGCATGAGGTCTACTGAAGCTGTTTGCAGCGTAAGGGAAAGAGATTTGAGATTTGTCATCTGTGTTTCATTGCGTTGTGAGCCCTGTCCAATGACAAGTTTGGTTGCACGCCTTTGAGCCAGGGTCTCCAAATTTGGATAACGGACTCCAGTCGCGGCTGCACCAAGGTTCCGAAGATTTTGATGAAGCAATTGTCATAAACAGCTTAGTATTGAAAACTGTAGGATATACCAAAACGTACGCGGGAGATGCTGACGGCCGCGATAAGGAAGTGAACCACACGTCACACTTCTGTCCATACGGTGGAGTGTTAAGAAGAACCTTCTGTTATATATAACGTTATAGTTTGACCGCAGATTTTATAGTCACCCTGATGCGAAAGCGAACGCGAATCTGCAAAGTACTGTGTATGAGCGCGCGAAAATACCTATATGAAAGTAAAATATATCTTTTTATCTGCAAAAGACCTAAGAAGGTACTCAAAATACGCAATTATTAAGGTAAATACCTAAAGGGCTGGCAGATTAAAATAATTAATTGGACCTAATTGTGCCCTTAGTGGAATTCGAACGCAGAAATACGTCAAGTCAGTGGTTACGGTGTTTTAGTGGGCCGAAATGCTGACGCCTAAACAATAGCAATAGTAATTTTTTACGAGACGCAACCCTCCCAGGTAACCTTGACTAAACATTCCTACTGTTCCCCTTTTCAGAAAATGCAACATGGCCAACGTACTCGTCGGCCATCGACTTAAACCCTGATCCAAGTCCTTTTAGATGATCATATTATATCATCACCCCCTATATTTACTCTATTATTCATTACCCTATTATAAGTTCGACATTATTATGCATTCAGTTTACCCCGAGTTTCTTTTTCTACAACCCTGTCTTATGATGATATGCATGTGTGGTGTCTATTAACCATATTCCTGTAAGTCGTTGCCTATTTGGTGGCATTGGTGGGACGCAGGATGTGGTTGGATGCCCTCGAATACCCTTACAGTCTGATGGGCGGCGAGTAGGGTTTTTGGAGGCCGGATATTGAATTCCCGCTTCGCATCTTGGGAACAGAGATCTCCCTCAAAACGAAGGAAGACCTGCTGCGAAAACTCGGACTTCGTAAATATGCGGCTACCTAGGCTGAACAAAGCATCAAGGTGAGCATCAACCGACTCGCCGGGTTGTTGTGTGCGAAAGTAGAACTGGTTGTGGATGTCAACCAGCTGCTCTAAGAGCGCCCATGCGTCGCTTAGGCTAGCGGTAGGGTCGGTGAAGAGGTAGGCAAACCGGCGTTTGCCCGAGTAGTCCTACTAGATGGGACACCTGGTGTTCTGTGGGAAAATGTTCGAGATACCGTACGCGCCAATCGGGGAAATTCTCACCGACTTCGTAGGATGGGAGTCGGATGGGTTCTGGGCCAGGGGAGGACGACTGTGCTAGCATTTTGCTCATCGCTCCCCTGGCATCGACATGCTCACGGCCGCGTAATGAGCCAGATCTAACCATAGATATTTGAACGTGTCAAGGTCACTTGAGCGCGGATTCCGAATGAGGATGGTGTGATCGTTTGTCGGTGAAGATTGCTGGTGTTCCTTCTTTCCCCGTCGCTGACTTCGTTCTTCCCGCTATCGTTACCGTACCGTACCGTATGTCCCGCTCCGTCAGCACTTCCGTGGCCCTCACCCGCAGTTGCCCACAGCGCTGCACTGCCCACCGGCGTCTATCTGGTATTCCGTGAACACCCCTCACTCCAAACGAATCGTTTGTATATAACCTTGACATTTATTTGTATCGTTATCTTTTTTTCCCTTTATTACTTTTCCCTTCATTTTACAATAGTAGACAGTTCGTTTCATCAACCGTATATCCTTCTTCATTCTTATCCATGAGTGTCTGAGGTGATTAACCATCCTGTTCGGTGTTACATCGGGAGAACCTTACAAGTGCATTACTCCTTTAGGTGTATGCCAACCTCAACATCCCTGGCCTGCTACAATGGTGGCAGACGGTGCCGGATCCCCCCAAACCCGCCTGGTTACCCCCCGCGCAACCACGAGTTTTTACCCTTCTACCGTCGTCCCGACCCCCTGCTAGCCCCCACCCCATATCAATCTGGCCAGGACATTCGTAAATGACCGGTCAAACTCTGGCTTTTTTTAGCAGATCTCCCTCCGTCGGACCATACCCGCTACCTACTTAACTTCCTTTCCCCCGAGACATTAGACTCCGTACTAGAAGCTGGCATCACTATTGATACCCCTTTTCCCATTGCCCATGACCAATTATTATCCTTATTTGGCAAGCCTATTTCCGAATCCGCTGCCGGTGCCCAGTTCTATCAACTCGAGCAGACCCCCCAACGGTCAGCTATGGAGTTCGCGAAAGAACTTCAACGGCTGGGTCGCCTCGCCTACCCGATAACACCCCCGATGTCACGGGATCAAATTGTGTTGGATCGGTTTATCGCCGGTCTGCGGGACCGGGCGGTCACTGAACACTTGGTTATCAGTCGCTCCCTAAACCTGACAGCAGCACTTCAGATCTTCAACCGGTTAACGGAGTTCCGTAGCCAAGAAGAGAAGCGCAAGGTGACCGTCCCAGCCCCGTCCCGGTCCAGTCTCGTCGTCATTTTCAACCCCAGTCCAAACGGCCGTCAAGAGACTCCTACCCGTCCGGTTCCCAAATCACAACCCGCAGTGTCAATATTGTTCAGCCTTCGGTCCCCGGGCACAGCAATGTGGACATAACCTACCCTGTAAGTCGCCTTCATCTGATTCTTTTTTTGCGCATAACGTAGCCCACTTTCCCGCGTTTCTCGTACCCGTTACGTTAGCAGGCATAACAACTCAAGCCCTAGTGGATACCGGAGCTAACGTCTTTCTCGTCACGATGAATTGCTTACCTCAGCACATGCTGCGGTTAGTGAGCCCATTATCAGAGTCACGAAGTCTACGAACCGCTAACGGTACCGCCATCCCAATTTCCGGCACGATTACCCTAAATTTTACTTTCGAGAATGCTCCCGTGACGTACACGTTCTTGATTGCTCCGGATGGTCCTTGGTCTCTCGTCCTCGGGTTTGATTTCCTCTCCGATCATGATTGTGTCATCCACGTTCGTGAAAGACTCGTGACACTTGGCCCCAAGGTTACTAAGAGCCCACTGCCGGTTCCGATCTTCGATCTCAACCTGATGTATAATTTGGTCATGGTTGTCGTCGCTATCGAACCCGCTAACTTAGATGACGTCCTCCCTCCGTTATCAACAGTGGGTTCTGTGGCTTATACACAATTAAAGGGCATACTTGGGCATTACAAAGCCCGGACGGAGTAGTTTGGAACTTGTATAGACCTTAGGGAACCGTGAAAGACGTCTTATGCCTGTCTTTTGGGTGGACTTCGACTTGCCAGTACCCTGACTTGGGGTCGAGAGTAGAGAACCACTCTGCACCGCCTAACGTGTGCAGCGTGTCGTTGAGACGTGGAAGAGGAAAAGAGTCGCGGACAGTGACTGCGTTCACACGACGGTAGTCGAAACAGAGTCGAAGGGACCCATCTTTCTTAGGAACCAGTGCGATCGGTGAAGCCCAGGGCGAAGTAGACGGCTGGATGACGTGAGCTTGGAGGAGTACACACAGGATTTTATCCACTACGGACCGGTGCTTATGAGGGATACGTCTGGGTGGTTGCCAAACTGGTTTGGCGTCTCCTGTATCGATAGTGTGTTGACCAGGCGAGTCCGTCCTAACGTCGTGGGAGACCAGGTAAAAAGCCCGGAAACTGACTCAAGTATGCCCTTTAATTGTGTATAAGCCACAGAACCCACTGTTGATAACGGAGGGAGGACGTCATCTAAGTTAGCGGGTTCGATAGCGACGACAACCATGACCAAATTATACATCAGGTTGAGATCGAAGATCGGAACCGGCAGTGGGCTCTTAGTAACCTTGGGGCCAAGTGTCACGAGTCTTTCACGAACGTGGATGACACAATCATGATCGGAGAGGAAATCAAACCCGAGGACGAGAGACCAAGGAC